CTGTAGATTAATTGTGCACAAAAATAATAATAATCAAGTACATCCAAGTAACTGGAAAAAAGTATCCTTCAATGTTCTTTTTAATAATTTTAATAGTAATTTTCACAAAAAAAGCCCCAAGTCTTGACAAATTTTGACCAAAACATCCCTGATTTATAAAAATACACTTTAGTGTAATAATTAGAATGTTAATTTGAAGGGGGGAAACCTATATAATTCTTTTAATCGATTTATCTAATATAGTTACGGATTAGTTGAAAAAATTGAAAACACTTAAGGGTTTTCTATAACATCCCAAACTCAAAGGTGAGTTAAGTGACAATCCATTTGGGTTTAAAGATAAGTCCATTCGGATTCGGAGTAATAGGGGTGTGTTGAGAGTATAGAGGGAATGGAGGAGGAAGATGAGGACAAGTATTTTTGTTTTAAAGAGTATATATTTTCTGTATAAGTATACTATTTGGGTTTCAAGATAAGTCCATTTGGGGGGTTTGCGTTTACTACGTCCTCGGGAGCCACACAGATAATTTCTTATTAATCAAACAAGAAATTACAAATTTAGGAGCGTATCTCAAAACTGAGATTTCTCAGATAAACACTGTAGCTACAGTGTTAATGATTAAAGGGTATGAACCCTATCAATTATCAACTTGAGAATAAATGAATAACCCCACAATATAAAACCCCTATTTAATTCCCCCTTCTCTCTCTCTTCTTAAATTCCTTTTTCTTAATCTCCCCTCAAAATCAATTGAGCGCTGGAGATGAGAACGCTGCTGCGTTCTTGGTCGCCGCCAGAAGAAAAAATCGGAGGAGGGGTAAAAAGCTTGAGCCACCGAAACCCTAGCGGGGGGGTTTAAATAGGCGATGGGGGGATGAGCTGGCGACAGCCTGTCGCCAGCGGCCCGCGGACGCAAGGTTCGAGCCGACGCAGAGATCGGATCCGCAGTGACGCAGAGTTCGGGGGAGGCGAACGCAAAGCAAAGTGGAGGGTTCGAACGCAGAGCTCGGGGTGGGTTCGAACGCAGAGTTCGCCTGGACCTCACCTGCGTCGACATCAAGCTCGTCGGAGCTTCTCGCCGGCGGTCCTCATCGAAATGAGGTTTGATCTACATCCCCATTCTAACATTATATACCTTAAGTTGTTTAAAATTAGCACATTAGTACCTTCTATTAAATAGGATCTCCCCCTTTCTCAACGACTTTTGTTTGGTTGATCGGACTGTAAGTTGAAATAGGAAGGTTTCCGTTGAGTTTAGGCGCGATCAGTCCAAGGCTTAGAATATACCTGTGAAAGACCTGAAAGTATATTCATGCTAAATCAAAAAGGTTTACGTTTCATTTACCCTATGAATCAAACGCAACTGTTTTTATTTCCCTTGAATTAATTTGAGCTTTTTTGGTGTTTTTTTTGTTCTTTTCGCGACAACATGGTCTTTGTAAGACCATGCTTGTCCTCAGCCGAACGAAACTATGGTGCCTTCGATCGCCTGCTCCTCGATCCACCGATGAATCTGATTTTAAAGCCTGCTCAATTAGTCCCCTGGGTACTGTCAGTGATATGGTGGGAACTAGTTCTGCAGTTGCTGGATTGCTAATATATGTCTCACGTGTACGTCGAGCACTATCATGCTTTATGCAGTTTTGAAAGCTTAGAGATGTGATTGTCCTGACATCACCTGGGCTTGTTCACATTTTTTTTCGCTTAAAATTAAGATGGCTGGTTCCTTCCATATTTGCAGCAGAACGCTGACAATCGAAGTTCGGGAGATGCTGAATCTCGAATCGTTGAGGATTCAATGAGGAAATCTGTGAAGGTGAGTGTTCCTTCCCTGCATGCGCAGCAACACGTATTTTCCGCTTTTAATTATCACCCATTTACGTGCGCGCGGCGCATTTCATCAGTTGATGTTCTGGAACTCAAACTCTCAGACTTGTTCGCAGTGTAGTAGTTGTACAAGATACGGAGGTAGAATTAAGAGATTTATGTTTAGGGTTTTAAATCCAAATTAACCAGCTTTTAGCTGTTCATCTCATCGTGAGCTTCAGATATTTTCAATTACTCACGCGAAGATAATTTGTCTGTGCTTCTGTCCTTTCTCTTTTTCTTTCCTTTCTTTTTATTTTTAATCTACTAAGAGTTCAGATTAATGGTAAGGCCTCTGAAGCACGTACAGTAAGGGTTTTTATGCTTACACTCTTAAGTCATGGAGTTTGAACTTTGATTATTAAATATATGTTTTCCAAAAATATGAAAGTCTTCATTATCATGATCCTTACTTTTACACAATACAACGTGCATACTTACTAAAATGATTTAGAAATTTTGCAATCCTAAAACCTATCCTCAAATTGCCTACTTATCTTAGTTTGAGCGGCTAAAAAATCTTCTTCTATTTTTCTAGTACATCATGAAGATCAGTTCTCTAGCCTGTGAAACATCCACATTCTTTTTGTGAGCTTTTACATATAAACATATTGGCTTTCTCCAGGCAACTGCGCAGGGTGCGCCCCAGCTGCGGTTGCCTAAAAGTGGTTCACTCATGACCAATAAAATGACCGATGCAAACCCGCAATAAGCTTTGCACTGTCTAAGAATGATTCATATGTTATGTCCTCCTCAGGCGCGGAGATTTCGCTTTTCAATATGCTTACATTTAAGATTCTTGGTCTTCTTTGCTTAAACTTAATGTTGAAGCCGATAAATTTTTTGTCTCAATGCATATAGGCTCGTGTGGTTTATGTCACTGCAGACAATGACGACATTTAAGCCTCCCCCTCCTGCAGCCATGTTCATACGTACAACAATTAAATCTATTAATATTACAAGTATGTTACATAATTTGTATTGGATGTTCAATGACATATTATTACTATTCCAGCATTCCGTCCCCAGGACAATAACACCGTTGCGATAGGCATGGATGATTAGTCAATTGAAATTTACAATGCTCGGGTTCCAGGGGTCGGCCTCCTTTCTAGTCAAAGAACATTAATTTTCTATATGATTCACGCTGATGGTGTAACCTACAGACATTTTTTCAATGTCATGCAGGTTAAAAGCAAGCTTAGAGGGCATCAGAAGCGTATAACTGAGTCTTGTCATTTTCTAATCTCCTAAATGTTCTTGTCTCATCTTAACCTCCTTTTCTTGCATTAATCCTTCTTTATTAATGATCTTAAAATACTGTATATAATTCAGCACCACTCCTGCTTAGATTATACAAGATGCTTACAAAATGATTGGATATCATGTGATGGTATCTTAAAGTTTCTTATTGTAGTTGTGTGTATGGAGCATGGATGGCTGGGGGAAAACAGGCTACTAAACTTTTACAGATTCCTTATGGGATATCATCAGGAGGCTTCAAGCTAGTCTTGTAAGCATATTCATCTATCAGAGAGTTTGACTTAACTAATCCTGATGGTCAAAACTGGCTACATTTGAACCCAACTTGCGTAGTGTTTGATTTAGATTCAACTAAACTAAACAAACATATATAGTAATACAATTCGAAAATCGTTTAGCTTTCAACGACGGAGAATGCATTTTGAGTTATCCTTGTTGATTCTCAAACTTTAGAAAGCAACAAGCACCAGTGATCGATGCACGGAATTACCTAAGCATTTTATTCGGACAAATGTAGAATCAGAATGGATGGTTTCGTGCCTATTAACAGTCGCTCTTCCCAAGTTGAGAGCAATTATTCAGATGGATGGAGGTAAACGAATGAACTCGGATCTTAACTATGGAGACATATTCCCAATAGATTAATCCCAAAATAACATATCCAAATTATAAGAAATCCTGTCAAAGCTACAACTGTCGAATTTGCACTTTGACAGGGTAACCCTGCCATAGTAACCTGGGTTCATTTCCTGGTGTTCGCGGGGAAATTCGTTGCTTTCTTCATTAATGATTCCATTGTACACTCTTGTAACAGTTTATCGATTACAAAGATCCGGTCTTTTTATAAGATCCGGTTACAACGAAAATCAAATAAAAAGAAATGAAAAATTACAACTTTGTTTCCTTGTTTGTCGAACGAATCACGAGCTCCTGTTTTGCGGTCGCTCGCTTTGTGGGTTCTTTGCCTGCGCCGGGGTTGTTTGCCGTGGACCACCGCGCGATCTAGATCCGGTCGGATCTACGCAGTACGACGGGTATTATTCCACGAAGGAAATAATAGCCGGGAGGGATTGATTCACCAAGGAAACAATCGCTCAAGTCTCGGGATCTAAGACCAAGCTTAGATCCGGAGTGTAGCAACGTAGATCTGAGATCCGATCCTCTCGAACACCTGCCTTATTTGACGTTGATGATCGCCGAGCACCAGATCTGAAGGAGTGAGTCCCCGAAGTCCCAAAGTTTCAATCTTTTTTAAGTTCCGAGTCTCCAATCCAGCAGGGCTTCGCCTCTCCAAAATTTCCAACCTCAAAAATGAACCAAGGCCTAGCCTATTTATAGGCACTCAGATCTGTGCCTAGGCACAGATCTGGGCCGGCCACCTCAGGGTGGCTCGGCTCTGGGCCGAGCTAAATCCGCTTCTGAGTTGGAGTCCGAAACCGATCTTGATTCGATCGTCATTCGTCCGAGTATGCCTTTGGTTGGATGACTCGTTGACTCTTCGAACCCTTGGCTTGATCCCGCACGTGTATGGATGCATTCCGTCGCTTGATGCGATTCGTCGATCTCGTCGCCTCGTTGGTTCGTCGGTTTGTGCCGAGCTGAGCTAAAGGACCTATAAGCAATTTTATATGCCTACACCTGGCTGGTCATTTTCTTTTTATTTTTAACTTTATTTTTTTAATTCTTTTCAAAATTGGCAGTGGGAATTCATAATCAAATACTCAAAATAGTAATTGAACCCAGGAAATCATATCACTAAAAACTAATATCAAACAGTACTTGATATCTAAAAGTATGCATCAGGATTTCTCAATACACAGACCGATGGCAGCACGCAATAATATTCATCAAAAGGAATCCAATCATTTTCAGGCTTGTAAACGACAGTTAATGGATTAACTAGCCAGCAAGAACTTGGAAAACTTGAAGTTTTTATTACAAGATAAAGTAAGATAGTAATATCACGTTTGTTCCGAGTTTGCTGGTGATTTAAGCAAATTTACACCAATATTTCTCAACAAAAAACAAAGATAAACTCATTCAGACTGATAAAACTAGCATCAGGCTTCAGTGGGAGGCTTTAACCTTATCAACCTCCTGATTCTATCCTTGTCCGTGTTCTCTAGCATCCCCTTCAAAATTAAAATATAAAACTTTATTAAAAGGAGGCAAATCAAAGGAAAAAAAAAGTGGTCAATGGGTTATTTCTCTACCTTCCACACAATTTCATCGAGGCATAGGCAGATCCTCCCATACTTGTCGAGAAAGAGTCGCTCAGTTGGAGGTTTTCCGCATACATCCTTCACTGCCGATGTTATCACAAAGATAACCTCGGACACTAGAAACCAAATAGAGAAGACATCAGGTAATATTGGAAATACTAATAGTAGATGAATTTCTATGATTTTTACTTACAAGCAAGTTCATCATACTCATCCTTGCCGACGACATAAATGCAGACATCCCCAAGCATAGTATAAACGATATACACAGACCTGAAACAACAAAATAGAAAATTGTAGGAAAAAAGTTTCAAGGATATCCCAATGAAGCAAAGAAATAAACATCGTGAGGAGCAGGACAAAATTATTTAGCTTCCAGCCGGCCTGATATAAAGCATGAGGGATGTAAATCATTAGGAAAACCATAAATGTGAATTCTTAA